CGGGCTGGGGATTCGAACCCGCCACCTTAGGTGTATGTGGCTGGCGCCTTAGCCGCTTGAGCCACAGGCGCCGAGCCTCCTTCTAAGCTCTTGAAGTGATACATGTGTGATGCATGTTACCGATTTTGTTTATAGGGCTGAGCATTCATACTGATAGCGTGTGGTTTGTGTTTAGGATGCCTATTGGATAGCAATGAACAGTTCTCTGAAGTGTAAGACCCTCAGTGACATCTTTCTGCTTTTCAAGAGTTCTGATTTCATCACTCGTGACTTCACTCAACCGTAAGTATTTCTTGTTCTCTCATGTCAGTGGTTTCAGTACCTGCAAATTGTTCTATAGGTGAAATTCCACTAGTTTTAGTGTAATTATAAACAGCTATTTCAAATAACAAAGCTGTTTCATGTTGCCTAAATGACCTATTAAATCAAACTTTTTTTCCTTTGCAGTAAATTATTTTTGTTTATCAGAGAAAAACAAAATAAGGGACTACAGCTAAATAAAACTAAGACTTGGAAAAACACCCAGGATCTCCCCACGATTAGTTCTGTATACTTCCAAAGTTCTGTCTGTGCAAATATAGGATATAAATATACCTGTCTCTGCTATATGCAGATTTTGTAGAAAAGGGATCCTGTAGTTCATATTGCTTAGTAGACTGCGTTCACATGTATGGTGACAGCTTTGCATGTTGTTAACTGCCTGGATTCATCACTTTTTCATGACCTTGATGACATGCCCTGGGGTAGCTCTAGCATAACATGTTCAACCAATCCTCTGTTCTACGTTTCTGCAGTTTGTGAATTAAATCTTTGGGTGCTTCCTTAATTTTTCCTTAGGATAAATTGGTGTAGTAGAAATGGGATTGCCACGTTTTCTTCCTTTTGCCGATCTCTGTGTAGCTGAAGAACTTGGCTGTGTTGTCTGCATTGCAGGCGGGCAGAGCACCTGCACCACTGAGGGAGGGCTGCTTCATGCTGCTTTTGTTCTGTCATCAGATGGCACTTGTTCTTCTAGGCTCTTGTTTTATCTTAGACCAGTTATCTCAGTTTAAGTGATCTCTAAACAGGCCTTTAAAGGGAAGCATATCACAAACTAAGCAGGAGAAGGGGGAAGATGTTATATATGCATGCCACTTCTCCCCATCCACCCAGTTGATTCTGCCCTGTCAGTTCCCCCCATTTCGGCCTCACATCCGTATCTGAGATGGAGTGTAGCACAAATAAGTAAGTTCACTGCCTGACACTTGTGCTTCAACTCTGTGGCATCTGAGCTCTGCAGCTTAGGCATATTGTTTTAGTATTGTATTATAGTAATTAAAGGAATTAAAGGAAAGGAGTTAAATAACAATCAATGAATGTGATTATATTCATGTTTATTATAAATGGATTTTACCTGTATGGGTATTCCTGGTTCTAAAGAAGTGTGTTTTGTTTCAACATTTAGTTGCCAACCCCCTATGCTGTGTCCACGCCGCTGTTACTGGTAGGGTGCTTGGAGCCTGTGTTTTAGAGTGGTGCAGTAGTATTTTCATTCTAGGAGACACCTCTGATCAAAAGTCACACCTTTTTTCCATTGTAAAGCTTTTTGACATCTGATGCTATAAGTAAAGAGGCCTTGAAATATATTACATAGGCTCGGCGCCTATAGCTCAACGGGGTAAGGCGCCAGCCACGTACACCTAAGGTGGCGGGTTCGAATCCCCAGCC